ATGTCTACAGGCCTTTGTCAGAGGCATTCGGAAGTTAAGCTGGAGAGATGTCCATTATTATATTTTTGGTACACTGTAATATACATATATAACGGGATTTGAGGCAAGATTCTCAAGTTACATGTTTTACTATTATCTTTAAAAAGATCTCATTAGTATGAAAAATGCACGTGGGAAGCTTATGAGTTGTACCGAATATAGATAATTATACTTATTAAAAAATGTGTCAGATAAAAGAGACGATTTTTCCTAAAATGGAATAGCCTTTTGCTCTCTCTCATTTTCGAAAGATTTCTTGTCATTTGAAGTTATTTCCTAATTCTCCAGCGATCTCAAACACTTTTGCCTATTGCCCAATCCATGATATTTGCATTATTCCATTTCAAAAGATATGCTTTGCATCAAATTTGCAGTTCCGATTTACTAAGTTAAAATAGGCCATCCTCCATCTTCATAAATTACAAGTAAACAACATCTTTTTATTAGTATTATTCTAAAGTGTCTTTTTTTTCTTCAATCTAGAATGTCTCAAATTATCTACTTTCCAGTGTTCTTCTTTTCTTCAAGAACGGTTGCAAAATGTATTGTGAAAACCTTTTTTTTCCCTATTATGCAAAATCGATCTCATTTCATGATTTCACTAACTTTAGATTGTTCAACACCACAATTAACGAAACTTCTAAGTAGTCACTTTTATTATTTTAATTAAAATTTAATCGCAAAGCAAACACGCATTTTGAATTTGAATTTTAAATGGTTTCCTTAAGCGACAATTCAATGACGAAACACATTATTCTAAAATAAATTGCATGAAAGATGTTTTAAAGGTGCTTGGACACAGATTTGAAGTAAATATTTTCTCATTTTTTTGTATAATTTCATGACGTATATGTTACTATAGCATTTCATACTAAAATATAATAAAATCTTATTTCATCTCGAAGTTATTAAACCTTTTAATTTCTGGACACGTTGGATTAACAGATCCTTGCGCTTTCACACATTTTAATTTTATTCCTAATACTTAAGAAAAGTGGCAATTTTGTTGTGTATTAATGAAAATATTAAAACTATAACCCAGAAAATTCAGAGTAGAAATGTTCGAAAGCAAAACCCACTCACAGTATTGTTAGTCAGTGCTCAGTGGTGTGTGCAGAGTTTAACAATTGAACACACCCGGTGAATCGTAAACATTAACAATAACAGAGCTCGTGCCCTGTTTACAAGAACAGTTTACGTTTGTTCAATTTGTTAAACTCTGTACACATCACAGAGCACGGACTGACAATACTGGTGAGTTGGTTTTGCTTTCGAACATTTCTACTCTGAATTTTATGGATTATAGATGTAATATTTTTCATTTATACAAAATCGCTTTGTTTCTTAAATATTAAGGATAAAGTTAAAATTTGTGTAAGTGCAAAGATGTGTTTATCAAACGCGTCCCAGAATTCGTAGTTCCAATAATTTCCAGATAAAATAAGTTTTTAATTATATTTTCATGTGAAATGCAATTGCAATATACAAGTCGTGATATTATACAGAACATCTGAGAAAATATTAAGTTCAAAAATCTGTGTCTAAGCACCTTTAAAGAAAAGTCATGGTTGACTGAATTTTTTACTGATGTTTGAATTTATTTGTTTTTTATAAGAAAAGTTACACCTAAGCAGGAATAATCTGAAAAAAATTATAATCATTTTCATTAACTACTGAAGAATTCATTACAAATTTATAGTGACCACTGAGAAATTTTTTCTGGGGCATTAGTACATGTATGGAAGTTATAGGGGTTGTTAGTCACTTATGTCAAAATTAAATGATATTGAATTTCTAATAGAAATCTTTTAATCTCATTAATCGGAATTGTTTTATCTTTTTTCTTCTATATACATCTAATTAAATGGGATAATACGTATTATCAAAGCAATAAATAGAGATTAAATCTTACTTTAATTCAGCATCACATTTTATTTAATACAGAAAAAAAAAAACTACTTAGTATTTTACATCTCTCAGATTTGCTGTGTTGGGGTATTTTTTCTGTCTTCTTTTACAGAAGAGTTAACAATGGAGAATTCAAAATGAAACACTCTCTTTTCATCATGTACAGAATAAGAGCGACATCATTACTGACAGTCTAACATGGAATAAGTTGCTATTGTGTTAGATGACTTACACGTTATTACTGAGAGCCGTCCATTTCTAGAGAAAATATGAAAAGTAGCTGAAAATAAATCTTATTCCTCTGCATGCTATCTTAATGAGAGGTAACATTGCCTTTGGAGTCAGTTTTCCAATTGAAATGGTGGATAGATTCATTTACATTACCATATAGATCTAATAACAATAATGGTAGTGACCTTCTTGTATCCTTCCGCGTATTCCATTGTTGTAGATAGGCACCGTGTATGCATATTTTACAATAAAGCTCTCGTTCATTATTGTATAATTGAGTCTTTATCGAAGGAAAAGAACTAAGAGGGAACCTTTCTCTAACCCCCCAAAGACTAGATCAGAATAAACTGTTCGTTTCACTAGAAATATAAACCAGCTAACTTCTTCTGCCAATAGGCAGGAAGTACTGACATACATATACAGTTTTACTTACGTGTAAGGATGTGAAGACAGAAACATCTTGTGAAATCCCCAACCTTTTTTCTCTCTGTTCAGAGAAACTACCGAAAGATATATAGAAATTTGAAAAGGTGAGAATATAAAACTATATAAGAATGGCACCAGGTGAATCAGAACCATTTCTCTAAAAAAAAAAAAAGTACCCGCGGTGTTTATATATAGTCAACTGTTATACTATTCGAGGTATTCTAGCAATGACAAGAAATGGTACATGTATGAATATACAGATGATCCAGGTTGTCAAAAACAGGTTTTCTTTCTCTTTTTTTCTTCTTTTGTGAATTTCAAACCTGGGGCAGGGGTGCCCCTAAAAACCCTGTCTTAAATTATTCCTTAGATCACAACCTTTCACAGCATCATAAATGCATATATCATAATTTTTTTTAAGGGCAGGCCTGCCCTGAAGGACTTCTAGACCAAAATTCTTGGGTAAAAATGACGGAGAAACGGAGAAAATGCTGTTTAACCAAATTTTAATTTTAAACTGCAAATAATAGGTTTTAGGTTCAAAATGCACAATTGAAAAATTCAGACCAAAATACGATAAAAAATGGCTAATGAACATTGATTTTTAAATGTGACTTTTTCCGTGAAATTCTTCTCTCCTATAGGTCAATTTTTTGAAATTCTGAATACATCCTTTATCAAAACACGGGATCAAATTTTGCTCAATATGATATATATTTCGACAGTCACTATAATCTTTCAAAAGCATTTTCCTCCCTCTAAATTCTCAAGAACCCTATCTCAACAATGCAGCATCAATTCCTCTTGCTACATCAAAAACCAGAGAAATACGTCACATTATATTAAGACTAATCTAAATGATTTGTTTATTGAAAACGTATATAATAAAGCCTATGGTAAGCAGATATACAGAAAAGCACAACAAAATATTTTCCAATACATCTATACAAGGTCAAATCCCTCTCCCTAATTCAGTTATTGAATTAAAGCAGATGGAAGTCGTGCCGTGAAAGTTGAGATCTCGCACTACAGAACATGCCAGGAAAGATGTATTGAAGTCATACTTAAAATTCAACTTGCATTCAGCATTAAAATCATGAATCATGAATAGTTCAAACAAAAGTACACCATCAGTTCATATTTTTCCTTAAATTTACCTTCTAAAGAAGTATGTCTTAATTGGAGATTTTATCAGTTTAATTTCAATTTTTAATTATTTAACAATTTTTTTTTTCAATAATCAATCGGTACCCGTAACATTTTCTTCTCTGTATAACTTTAGGTGTCCAAATTTTCTCTGCCCAATCTCATGGGTAGGTGGGAGTTTTTTTATAATCCGAAAACGCAAAAATAAAAGAAAAATTCAATAATAATTTTGAAAATATTTAGCGATATTTACTATTTTGATATTTACTTACAAATTTTTGCCTCATTTTTCAGATTTGGAGAAAATTTTATTAAATGGTATATTATATGTTTTTGAATTTCAAAAATTCCTGACATTTCACTATTTTTCAGCAAGATAATATCGACAATTTACATGGATTCTTGAAGAAGTGAAGAATATTAAACAGTTTTGAATTTTATTATGCAAAATATACTGAAATGAAAAAAGAAACGCATACCTAAGTATAAGGCTAGAAAATTCTACTATATACAACACGATGATAGCCAAATAACATTATACGTAATTTTGCAGTCATGATTGTCATTAATCAAGGCATAAGGTCGAATAAAACGATATTGCAGCACCGCAACTATTGGTTCTAGGGAGTAGGGGTCAGAATGTAACATTAAATTGCTCGGCAATTTCATTCCGATGGAGTCTTTGCATTAGTCAGGAAATAACCATATCTCTTAGAATTTCAGTAAGGCGCGGACTCTTTTAGGCTCTATTTTATATTTCAAATTCTCACGGACAATTTCAAAACAATCACTGGCGATTTCAAAAATTGTTCAACCTATATTTAATGCCAACTACATGGCTCATAACGCAAAGCCCATAATTATGCAAATTACTCGTGCTCAAATCGAGCATGTCAGAGTCATGATGGAGTGATTTTCTACCGCATATCTATTTTTAGACATTATTTAAATCCCAATTAAATTCAAAACTATTTTAACCATGACGCAATTGCAGCAAATAGATCAAAATTATGCGTTTCATTTTCCTTTCAGAATATTATAAAACAAAAAGGTTTTATCAATGTTAAAAGGAGTGACAAGGTCAGTGTAATGAGATCTGATAAGAAACAAAAAAAAAAAAAAAAAATCAGAACCTTCAGTGAAATTTCTTTGTAATTTTTTATTATATATGATTTTTTTTCTACTCCATATTTTCCTTTTCCTTTTTAAATTGATACAGGTGTACGTAAACAAATAAGGAAAACAATATCTCATATGATCAAAGTATATTGAAACAACAATGAAAAAAGAGATGTATCATAATAAATTGCGTCTACAATGTACACAAAGTTATTAGCACTCATTTAAAACAATTGGGAGATGTACAGTCACAATAAAGTATCCTCCTCTGTTATAATCTTTCCATTACCCGAATTATCGATAGAATTGTTATTCACTATCTCCCCATTACACTGGGAGTCTTTTAAACCCAACTGACATGTTGATTTGTCATCAATGTTGACGTTTATAGTGACGTCACTAAACATGGCAGATGGAACTGCTTTGTCTTTTATAAACACTGTGGAACCAAGTGACATTGTTCGGGTTGACTTAGTGGATATCGTGCTGAATCGGCGGATAGTTCTCCGTCTGTTCCATCTCTTCAGTATTTCTTGTTGAACCTTGATAGTATAAAATTTTCTTGGTAATTTTCTCTGAAAAACCGCAAGGTCTAAACGATAGAGTGTATTATAGGTTACATTGGAAGTAACCTCTAGCTACCCTTAATGAACTTAATTTTTTACCATGACCTGTAAGTCTGCATGTATTGGTACGATTGAAATTTGTGAAAATACTGACCATGTCTCATGACCTTTGCTCTCATAAAGAAACATGAAATATTGAGATAAGGAACAGTATTCATTACAGAAGTTTACATATATGCTTGCCAACTAAAGCTTTAACAACTGCTTATAATACAGAGTTCGATTGACCAAGGAATAAGATCATGACAAGAACCCTTTCCAAATGAATTGAAAGTTCAGAAAAATACATACATACTCTACTCATTCATGTAATGGGCAAAAAAGTTAACATTGTGAAATAGGTTTATGAAACTAAATTTATATCTATAACTGATACAGATATTTCCCTTAACAATAATTATATCTCAAGCTTTAAACGTACCTCGCCATTGCAGAAACAAAACAGAACTGCAACAACAAGACCCTGAAATAAAGGCCAAAAATTAACAACAACTAATAACAGTTTTAAAATGTGTAAACAAATATTTGAAGTTGATACATTAATATATTGTTTAGTGACAAAACTGATATGAGTTGACTCCACTCTCTACATACATTCAGACAAGTTCCATACATTCTTGATACTTACCTGAAATGAGTTGACTCCACTCTCTACAAACAGCCACACAAGGTCCATACATTCTGGATACTAACCTGAAATGTGTTCATCCCAGGCCTAACATATACTCATACAAGTTCCATACATTCTTGATACCTACCTGAAATGAGTTAACTCCACTCTCTACATACAACCACACAAGTTCCATACATTCTTGATACCTACCTGAAATGAGTTAACTCCACTCTCTACATACAACCACACAAGTTCCATACATTCTTGATACCTACCTGAAATGAGTTAACTCCACTCTCTACATACAACCACACAAGTTCCATACATTCTTGATACCTACCTGAAATGAGTTAACTCCCCTCTCTACAAACAGCCACACAAGGTCCATACATTCTAGATACCTACCTGAAATGAGTTAACTCCACTCTCTACATACAGTCACATAAGTTCCATACATTCTAGATACCTACATGAAATGAGTTAACTCCACTCTACATACAGCCACACAAGTTCCATACATTCTTGATACCTACCTGAAATGAGTTAACTCCACTCTCTACATACAGCCTCACAAGTTCCATACATACTTCATACCTACCTGAAATGAGTTAACTCCACTCTCTACATACAGCAACAGAAGGTCCTTACATTCTAGATACCTACCTGAAATGAATTAACTCCACTCTCCACATAGAGCCACACAAGTTCCACACTTGGATCCATACATTCCGGCATGACAACAGATATCATGTAGTACACACCGAACAAAGGGATGAGGACCAAGGTGGAGCGGGCTAGTTTTCTATGACAAAAAACCATTCAAGAATTTAAAAAAAAAAACCACTAATCCATAAAAGTATATATTGATACATAGATTTACTTTAAGAGTTATGAAACACCTACGTAATTGTTTCAAAGATAAAAATAAATGATGGACCTCGTTGCATTTCATTATCTGATTTTAAATGGGATTTTTTCATGAACGAAAATTGGTCTAACGTTTACAGACATTATATAAAGATTTACCTATATCTATGTGGATCACTCATATGCAACGCAGTCAACTTTGTAAAGAGCACCCTTATAATATTCAAAAAGAATAGAAAGTTGATCTAAAAGAAGGAAAAAAATATAGCTTAGACATTGTCGATAAATGAATTAGAATTCTTCTTGCTGTAACAACTTATTAAGAATAAACGAAATATTGAATCTTTTACAATGACTTGAACAACCCCGAATTATCGTCCACCTATACTTCTATGTGCTCCTTTTTTCAATTTCATTTCATAAAAATAAACACACGTGTATCACAATTGTAACCACTCTTATTCTATAAACATACGTACCGCTATTGTGACTACAATAGGCCCTCGTATGATCCAAACATATTTGTTTTCAACACTGTGTGTACTCCAACATCTATCATTTAAACAATTATAACTAAATATTTGTATGTTAATTAAACAAAATGTCATAAGATCAACTGTTCTATCAAGACTTCTGACATGGAAGAATATCTATTAATAATATTTTGCTGAAGACAAATTAACGAACAAAGGAGTAGCAGTTTTATTTAATTATATAATGTATTTCTGCAGAATTATTACTGAATAGGGATGATTTCATGTAGAACAAGAAGGGAAATTAATAGCAAAGCTGGATTTGAAAGCAAAAGATCGCACAGTAGACATGAACACAAAACGAATATTCTTTTCTTAGAAGTCGCCCACCTGGCACAGTGGTTAAATCATTTGCTCTAGAGACAGGACGTTAGGAGTTGATCCCTACGTCGCGGGCTTGAATCCATTGCGGGACGTAGAGACCAGTCCTTCGGATGAGACCGAATAGAACCACGGTCCCGTGTCGCAGTAGGTGCTGGCACGAAAAAGATCCCTAACTGCTCAAAGGCCCTAAGTGCCGAGCATAGGTTAAAATTTGCAGTCCTTCACCCTCCAAGAGCAAGTGGTGGCGTCTCCATATGAGTGAAAATTCTCGAGAGGGACGTTAAACAACAAACAAACAAACACACAAACTTTTCTTAGAAAATATTTTTGTAGTTAACGTTGTGATTCAGTTTAGGAATACCAGTTTAGATTTTCTGCATACAAAATAATGTGTTATGATATATTAGATCCTCTGAACTGCCATAAAGATCTTTAAAGCGTGTTCGCATAAAACATTTGAAAAGAACTTTATATTCAATATAGATAACTTACAGTGTGTCTTCTAAGAATCTTCGCACGATAACCCATGGAATTATGCAAAGAAGAGGCGAGCCTGGAATAATAATATAATTATAAACATAAATTTAGAATTTGTTCCTTTGGAATGTCGCAAGAGTCTGAAAACCTTCCTAAAAAGGAAGGATTAGTTTTACATATTCTCTATGAACTGTAGAGTATGACTGACCCATGTACAATGTACATGCACGTGTATCACTTTGTCTTTCCCAAAGAATGCATTGCGTTTTCGTTTCCTATGTATCACTTTGTTTATCATTAGTATGTAGCACTTTAACTATCCCTTAGAGTGTATTACTTTTCTTTACTATACATGAATTCGACCACTTTTATATTTAAATCACCTTATCTATTCCTTGATATATATCACTGCCTCTAGCCATTTCACTTTGTCTGCCCCTTAATATATACAGGTATACTTTATCATTTTATATATCATTCAGTATGCGTCTTTTTGTCTTTCAGGTTAGTATGTATCTCATTGTGTATTCCTAAGTATGCAAGACCTTGTCTATCCTTGAGTAAGGATCTTTTGTCAATCCTTTAATATATCTCACTATGTGTACACCTTAGCATATCCTTTAGTTTGGTTGACTGATTATTTATTGCTTAACTCCGAGTATTTTAGCCATATTGTTTTAATATGTATTGCTTCGACTTTCCCTTAATATGCATCGCTTTGTTTTTTACTTATCACGTCGTGTATCCACTAAAGTTCATCACAGATGACTCTCTTCTTTCCAGACCTGGGTAATCGTTGTTTTCATGGAGAAGAAGGGGGGGGGGGGGTATGTACTTGGATTTCGTGGGTCGTGCAATGAATTCATATCCAATCCCTATGTACCAGCGAAGAACTTCAGTTTTTTTTATATATATACATATAAAAACATTTTACGCAAACCAGTAAAATTTTGCTTAGATTTACTCCCATTAATAAAATAATTTCTCGCACCTTCAGATTTTCAATGCTTATCAAAATTGCATGGAGTAATTTCAATATTATCAAAGTATCATAATGAAGATATGTCCAGGTCAAAGGTAGTTGTATGGAGAATTACATCTCATCAACTGATAAGAAGATTTATAGTCAGAATATCAGACAACATAGAAGTTCAAGAAAATCAATGTAATGTTAAGGACCTCCTTTTCACCTGAACTATTCATTTGCCTAATGATATTCTTAATGAAAGCTTTTCCCCTTATCTGACATGGCTTAAAGCTTCTTCCTAGGGATATTCTATGATTAAAAATCAAATCAATGGATAAAACACATAGAAAATTAGAGATGAAAATATTGTCTTTTTAAATTGGATTCAGGAAATCGAAGGAAATTATACTTACACCACCCAAAAATAATATACATAAAGAAGCGCTTGCTGTTCTTGAAGGTTGTGACGAAGATTATGTTATGAAGAAAAAGTCCTTCCAGAAATATCCATGTGTAATTTGCTACTATGATGTAGTTAAATATGGAGAATAGCAATTTACACGGCCAATTCTAAAAGAAAATAGAGTAGAGCTTTATCTAAATTGAATTCATTTGGTATTCTCTAGCGTTGTTTTATTCAACATCGCCTTTCCAATTCTAGAACATTATTCATTTACGTGTTTGGCAAAAGAATGAAGAAATGAGAAAATTTTACATCAGTAATTTCAATGTTCGATGCCTAATTTTTTTTTCACCTTTTAGACTAATGCATTTTATAATAGTACTTAACTGTGTATACTACGATACTCTAGAGGTGTTTGATTTCAAAAAGAAATAGCAAATTCAAATCAAGGGCAAATTATTTTATTTATTGCAGAGAACGAAATTGAGATAAATGCATGTAAACGTAAAATGTTCAATTACATACAAAGATACGCTGCGGAATAAGGGCGTTGACTTTCTTAGGGAGAATAAGATATTGCTTACCGATCCAAGGGTCGTTAAGGTTACTGTATTATTGATAACTGTGGTGTCACCGTCGGGCGTGTGGAATACATCCTTGATGAGGCAGATAATGGAACGCAAAACGAACGAAAAGAATAAATTGATATGAATGTAGTTTCTCTGACAATGTAATCTCCTGCAAAATAATATATCTATCATTTATTTCTGTCATTGCAATGACAAGTTATTTCAAGAGATTTTAAAATGGCATGCTCAAACACGAGATGTTTTCTTTTTTCTATCATGAATGTAACAATTCTTACTTAAAGGACAACATCACCATGATAGCAACACTCAGAAAGGTCAAGGATATGGAGTAACCGATCATATTTAATCTCTCTATGGTTGGCAAATCCTCCTTATAAAAGAATAATCAATGAGGAAAAATACACGCAACAGCAGACATGAACTAAAATTGACCTCTAAATTTAATTGTCTCTTATTTTGCAGGTCAGATATTTAAATTTGTAATACTGTTTTTACCATAAGAGGATCACGTGGGTTGTAGGGCTGCATGCACTGGGTAAAATCAGTCCATGTATTATTCGTCTCTGGATGAATAAACCATGTACCGTTAGGTAAACACTCTCGTCGAGCTTTCTCTGAAAAAAAAAGAGAGCTTAAAAAATCTACGATCTTTAAAATCAGAACAGCGCGATTATCACACAAACATTTTCAAAAACATCATATTGTTCACCATGTCAAATCAGTTTGTTGTTTAAAAAAATCGTTGTATTTTGCCAAATGTGAACTTCTACTATCTCTACATTATGAAAGTATGGAAAAAAGCAATGATTTGTGTACCCTCGACATTATATTGTCAAAATGAGCATGGCTAAGATTCATTATGCCTCTTCATGGTTTGTTTGAACATCTATGGAAATAGTTATGACCCGAAATCAATACTAATCTTTTAAATCCTGTGGCTTTGACTTTGCCCAACGCCCTTGAAGCATATATACAATACCTTTCCAGGTTAAAATAAGCGTGTAATGTGAATTATGAAGTTATGCTTTATACGTGAAATTTAACAAACATACACAAACGCACAGAGAGTCCGACTCACACACGTGGAGTTTCCTATCTACACTTTAAAATAGGTTTGTTGGAGTATAGACCTGGGCTGGGATTCATAAAACTTCTTAGTATATTCTTAAGTTTAAAAATTCACTTAAGTTATATATTTTATACTTAAGTCCCCTAAGTATTACTTAAATTTGGTAGAAATACTTAAGTGTAATTCATAAACATATTTAGTGCTTAAGTGTTGACTTAAAGTTAAGTGTCCTCAGGTGGTGTCTTAAGTAGATAAGAAATACTTAAGTTTTCTTTATCAAAATAAAAATAATGTTTTACAGAAGACATTTTAATCTTTCAGTAAGAAACCATGCTATTACATCCAGCTAGAAACTTGTCAACTGGTAAGATGCAGTATTGTGCAATGTGATGACAAAGTTGTATCAGTTGTGATGTAATACACATGGAACTAAATACCTCCATCACAAAAGAGTGCGCTTTTTGTTCAGGAAATTGTATGCGTTGCTAGGGTGACTTAACTTAAGTGCTCTAATTTTCTCAGAATTAAACTTAGCTAAGAATTGCACTTAGAATTTATATGAATATGACTTAAGAATTTTTTCTTAGCTAAGAATTTATTTTATACTTAAGTGTGAAACTTAGCATAAATCTTAAGTATGTTTATGAATCCCAGCCCTGTTCTTTATTACTGATTGAATACCTTTGGTGTTGAAGTTGTTTATGTAGTCCGGGCAGTTCTGTTCCAGAACAGTACCAGCTTTAGTTTCTGGCCAACACATAATGTTGTCAAAAACCGAGGGACAATAAAGTCCTGAAAATAGTAATGATTATGTGATGAACTCCATTTAGTAAACTGCAATTGAAAAAAAAAAAGAAAAAAAAGAAAAAAAAAACAGGTACCGTAACCACCTTTAAAAAATGTTTATTTGCCCTCTTCTGACCGACTTACTGAAAATGGCCTGACTCAAACTTTTTTACCTCAAGGACATGATATTATTTATTTATTTCGAATTTTCTCATCTCGTCAATAACTGTTTTAATTGTATCAATACCTTCAATTTTATTTGTCATTGATGCTGAAAATTTCTTGGTGAAAAATTTTTCCACCAATCTACCGACCCAATCTTTTATCTTGAGTCGGGAGAGGGCAAACAAACATTATTTTAAAGGTGGCCCTGTATTGAGAATGAAGTTTTCTTCTCCCATAGGCCCTAAAAACTATAAAAGACTAAGTAACCATTTTAGTGCAAGTTCAATGTTGCAACAAATTTCTATCAAAGCGCTCTTTCCCTATATGTTCAATGTTCACATGATTTGTTTTCTTTGTTTTCAAATTAGGTGAAAGATAAATTAAGGAACTGTAGTTTAATTCACTATGAAATTGCAAAAAGGAATATTTCCTTGCTTCTCATTATTTCCATTTTATTTAATTTGATATAGACAAACTACATGTACTTAACTACAAGAATTTTGAGTAAATCAGGATATCAATATAAAGACACCATCAACACTATTAAGTAAGGAACAACTTAAAAGATTGAAGAGAAATGCTGTTAGCACAACACATCAAAGTACCTAACAAAATTCAAGAACAAAACCATTAGTGTTATAAGGTTACCGTAGTGTATTGATTTGTTTTACTTGGTTAAGCAGCGTCATAATGTTTTAATGGTAATAGTTATAGCATGCATATTTATGTTGGCATATTTCTGCCCCCTACATGCAATATAAATTATGTTAACATGCAACATAATTATGTAGACATGCGACTTATTTATGTCAACATGCAAAATAATTATGTTTACATGCAAGTTACCAATCTCTCTAGAGAATATAATTTTAATGTTCGTAAACGTACTTAAGTTTATGCCAATATATGACATCATACAAGCAAGATGGAACAGAATTATGTTGACATGCGACTTATTTATGTTAACATGCAAGATAATTTTGTAGACATGCGACTTATCTATATCAACATGCAAGATAATTATGTAGACATGCAACTTATTTATGTCAACATGCAAGATAAGTATGTTGACATGCAACCTATTTACTTGCCTGTTAACATTAATATCTTTCATGTTAAAATGTAACTCGCATGTTGACATAAATAAGTTGCATGTTGACATAAATAAGTTGCATGTTGACATAAATAAGTCGCATATTGACATAATTAAGTTGCATGTTAACATAATCATCTTGCATGTTAAAATATAACTCGCATGTTGACATAAATAAGTCGCATGTTAACATAATTATCTTGCATGTTAACATAAATATGTCGCATGTCAACATAATTCTGTTGCATTTTGCTGTATGATGTCATACGATGGCATTAGAAAGTATGATACCAACATTAAAACTAGATTCTCTAAAAAGATTGGTAACTTGCATGTCAACATAATTATTATGCATGTAGGCATAATTATCTTGCATGTTGACATACTTTTCTCGCATGTTAACATAATTTATATTGCATGTAGGGGGCAGAAATATGCCACCATACATATTAGTATTAAGTTAATATGATTGATTGATTGTATGTTGTTTTACGTCCCATTCGAGAATTTTTCACTCATATAGATACGTCACCATATACATGTACCGGTGAAGTGCTTCAAATTTTGACCTTTACTCGGCACTCAGGGCCATTGAGCAGTAAGGGATCTTTATCGTGCCAACGGCTGTCGTGACACGGGGCCTCGGTTTTTAAGGTCTCTTCCGAAGGACCCGCAAATTTCACTTCAAAGTGCCGAGCGCACGGCGAAGGAACAGTTGCTACCCATTTTTTATCGACTTAGGTCAGTTGCGGCCGAGATTCGAACTCACGACCTCCCGATCACGGAGCGAGCGCTCTACCGACTGAGCTACCATGAACGGTTTAATTAATGTGAAACGTATTCATATAAAGGAACTAAAAAAAGGCAGGTTAGTAATTTACGATATGTACAATTCAAACAAAAACTTTTGAATAATCTGATATAAACATTTGATTGAGGTGTAAAAGCTAGGTGATTACTTCCTTTATTAAATGCTACAGTGTATGATGTGAAACTACGAGTGTTTTGGCTATTTCGTCGTGATCGGAAGGTCGTGGGTTAGGACCTCGGCTGCGAATTACCTTCGTCAATAAAAGCTGGCTATCAACTGTCTCTTCAAGCATTTGGCACTTTTAAAGTGAAAGTGCGGTTCTTTCGGATAAGACCTTAAACTCTGAGGCCCAGTGTCACGGCAAGCGTGGGCACGATAAATATCCCTTACTGATCACCGGCCCTGAGTGCCGTTAAAGGTCTAAATACTTGGTATCGCGATTAACTCACAGTTATCTAACTTAATGCGGCTCTTTTGCTGCGAACTCAAGGAAACTATAAATCTGGCGAGATTTCTGGGGCATGAATTACTTACGCTAGTGACAATCAAATGATTCGAACAATTAGTATTCCGAAGGTACTATGTATTGCAAAGGGTTGAACCTCAAATAGTAGGTTGGTTAATTTGGAATGTTTATAGTTTTTTATCAGCTTCCAAAAGTAACGATGATCAGAGAGAAATGGTTGAATTTAATTAGAAGAGTCGGCTTACTGAAAAAGTATCAATAAAAATGTAACACATGAGGACTAGGTTCTCTTAAAATCTATAAGCGAATGTTCAGCAAGGTATTTCACAAGGACTCCTTTCATATCTGCCCTTTAAAAATCCACAATGCTTGATCTCGCGTTGCATGCGAGAGCACATTGCCCCCAGCTAACAGATGTTTCCTACCTTCTCCGCGAAAGAGTTCCATTTTGTAAAGTAGTCGCGATATCAAGTATTTGAAGCCCCTCACCGGTATGTGGTTTCGTCTTAATATGTATTAAAAATTCTTGAATGGGACGTAAAACAACAACAATCAATCAATCAATCTTTGGCTATTTGCTACTTAACCGATATTTGTATATAACCGAAGAAAAAAAAGCTTGCTTGGGTTGCAAAAAGATATTCTTAATTAGAATACCTGTCAATTTTTCATCTAATGGCACAGTTGAGTTAAGACATTTGATCATTGCCCTCAGTATCAGCACACGTTGATTCTGAGCTGGAACCTTCACAGTGTATATTTTCTGAAATAAAAACAATATTTATTTGACGTAAATATAATGAGTTGGTCTTACACTACTGAAATAATCTTATAACAATTGCTATATATTACTTATTTTTTTAATGACACAAGTGAGAAATACTACTCAAATATTTTTGTAACTTAGAATGTATACTTTTTGATGTTAGAATAATTATTGACGAGCAATCTTCTTTCCATCAATATTCCTAAAACGGTCTTTTTTTAATAATATTGTGAGGTTTTCCTTGTTACGGGGGGATTATGCACACATTTAATTACTAGTCTAAAAATATAATCCTAGAGATTTTGGTTCCATCACTTTTATAGCTAATGTAACTTAAAGTAGACTGAATCTATTCTATGTATTTAAGGAACGAGGTGATAAGTGCTCCTTGGTTAAATGTCACTTGATTTCAGGGATCTTGTGAAACGAAGGAATATACTAGTAATGTACTCGATTATAAATGAATGTACTCCTAAGTGTGTCTTAATTCCATCCATTTTAATATTTAATCAGCATTCCTCCACTTTTTTTTCTCCCAATACAGCAATGTCTGTTGTGTTATTTTTCATTAACTTTTAAATAGTGAGAATATGGTGTTTGAAATTCAGAAAAAAACGCTTTTGAAGAAGGGTCTCAAATAACTAATTAGACACAGTAAAGCGAAGTTTTTCCAATACTGACACTTTTAATCAAAATTCTTTTACGTCTGTTTCTCCCAGTACAGCAATGTTTGTTATGATTTTTGTTCATTGACTTCTAAATACTTAGAATACAGTGTTTAAAATACAGAAAAATGCTTTTAAAGGAGGGTTCCAAATCCCTAGTAAGATAGAGTAAAGGGGAATCTTATACATATCTTTACTTTCTCTACAGGAAAAATGTTTTCCATAGATATTACCTTCAATGACTTTCTGTTTTGAAAGAAAATAAAAAAAATGAAAATCTAACTTAACGTATGGCATCACTGGAATATTACAACCGGGCCTTTTCTTGTATGCACTATTCAAAGATTTATCTTTATTTTTTTAAAGAATAAAAACGTAAGCATTCCAAAAAAGATTTTTCAATTAAAATTGAAAGTCCTGGACACTTGAACTTTTAGCATTTTAGAACTCGTATGCGTTGGTCTGTGTGAAGCAACAGTGTGACAATAAAGTCAAAGAGCGTCTTCGATCCACTCTGAAGACAATTGTGGAAAGGATCATCAGAGTATCACATATTAATAATGTTTTTGATCATATATCAATATAATATGTTAAAAAAAAAATATTGTACTTTTTGAAGACAGGGGACCGAGTTTCTAGGCAAATCTATGATTCTTATCTCCCTACAAAGACACAATTAACGGTAATGAAACATTGTTATAGAGCAATCCGAAGTGACAATGTTTAATTACAATTATATGTTTAACAATTATTTTTACATTACCTTTGAATTTGCTGATAATGTATTATCAAAAAAAGATTTTTTTTTTTTAATTTTACAGAAGTCGATTTATCAATAATAGATTAATTACATTTGAAAGTTAAGACACGTGTAATGAAATTGCACTGGTCAGTAATTGTCACCATAATCTATAGTATTATTTTTTGAAATATTAACGAGGTCTTAATTGGAATCGAAATATATTTTGGGTAAAAAAAAATTGTTACGGTGAAGTGTGATAAAAAAGATATTCCTTCCACCTTTTTCAATATTATCGTAAAAAGTTTATCGCCTTCGACACACTGATATACTGAATTTGACATGTTATCTGTCAAATAACTACTTCATTTGTTCTTTAACTTAACACATCGAAATTTAAGTCGTTTTAATTTAGTGATCCTATTTTGGGGATATCGGTCTTTACCCCAGTACTCATTGTGGTTCCAGGGCTTAGTTTCACTAAAGAACGTACGACTGAAAAATAAATCCACTTTTGCAATTTTATCATATTCTTTAAGTTGATGACTTTGAATTTTAAAGTAAAGAAGAAGAAATCAATTAACTAAATTCATTGAGAAATTTTTTTTTTTAATTTTTTTTTATTTTAGAACTTTTTAAAACTTTAAGTTTAAGTCGTTATTTCTTGTGTAAAGCAGGGTCCATACTTTTTATAACAGACTCAAAGATATATGAGCAAGGATTAACAGGTGAACTTCGGAAGAAAACATACACAAACACCACAGTTTGACTCATAGGTGTCGGAGGGCTAAAAAGTTAAAATCTTGAATAAACAATTCATGAGGACAAAATAATTATTGATGAAAAGATCTCTTTCGATTATTGTAAATGCCATGTTATTTGCTGTTTGTTGATTTTTTGTTAAATGGCCGCTGACCCGCGGGAAGACAGTGACATCAGCCAGCGATTTTATGTTACATGTAGAGTCTGTCCACAGTGTAAAAAAAAAAAAAAAAAAAAAAAAAAAAACTTAATCACTAGCATCTGGAGAAGAACGTCATTCAGCAACTTTTATTTATACAAAAATATGTTCCAAATGCATTTGAAAGAGTTTTTGTAAAGGAAATAATAGTTGAAATCACTTTAGAAACAAAAAAATAAATAAATGAAAAAAATAAGAATAAAAAATAAGCAAACCGGCTTAATCACTTATATTTTTTATTGTCTGAATTAAATATTAGTTGATATTACATGTATATGTGACTTGTGAAATTAAGGCACCAACTAGTTAAGCACCTGACTATGAAGGAATTTATTTCAAATTTAATTCAGTTTTAGATTGGATTTTAACACATCTTTATCATTTTCCTCTCTTTTTTTTTTATATCCCTAACACAGCTATGTTTGTTATGTTTTTGTTCTCTGACTTATCAATACTGAGAATATGGTGTTTGAAATTCAGAATTATGTTTTTGAAGACGGATTTTAAAGCCCAAGTGAGATAATACAAAGTAATATCTTATCCATAACTGATACTTTCTCTGCAGGAAATTTGAATGTTTTAAATATATATTAGTTGAAAAAAATTTCTGTTTAAGAAAAGAAAAACATCGTGTTCATCACTGATATCATAATAATACTTAAACTAAGTTTTGTTGTAAGGCGTATCTAAGGATTTAAAGATGAAAAAAATATAAACTTCAAAATCATTATCAAAGAAATATTTTTCACCACAAGTAAAATTGTGTATACTATTGGCTTTTAGTAAAACATATATTTGTCATGTGGTTTCTTCGTCTTTGAGGGTACCCTAGACAGACGGGCGTCTGTGGAAAGGGTCATACGAGTTTTCTTGTATTATAGCTATGTCTTTCATCATACATAAATTTGTAAACCACTTGTACTTTCCACGAAAAAGTGCACCGAGTTTTCCTTTTCATATCTGTGATGGGGTATCCCCTACAAACAGACAATTAACAGCAATGAAAGATTGATAAAGAAACTATCTTTTTGATTATTTATTTTTTACAATTGGATGTACGAACAATAATTATTACCCTTGCTTTGAATTTGTTGATCGTTAATTATCAAGAGAGAGAACAATTTATACAGACTTGTTTTTGATCAATAATGGATTAATTACAGTTAAAAGAACACGTAGCCTGAATATGAACCGGTCACAAATTGTCACCGGGAGTGCCTGATTGAATCTCCATTGACGATTGTTTTTGTTGAGAACCAGCAAACATGCAGTAGGGTATCAGTGATAAGCCTGATTGTTCGCGGACGAACACCTTAGAACAATTGGCTGTGTAGTGTTTAAGATCAAATCGTGAAATATGAATACCAAGTCAGTTTTTGTACTCGGTTTATCTCAATGATATTTGCGTTATCGTGTCTTTTTCGCTGTGTTTGCTTGAATGGTGCATTTAAAATAGCAGCTGAACATTTTTAGAAACGTATAAGAATTTGTAGACGAGACAGCTATATTTGATCAACATTGTGTCTTGTTGGCAAACACAAATATTTGTAAAAAAAAAAGCTTGTTTTTTTCCCTTAAGTTCTTTAGATTTTATTATGGTAATTTTTAAAACACAAAAATATTAAGTGTCTTCATCGACACCTTTTGCTTAAATTTCTTTTGCTTAAATGCATTTTTCAATCACATGTCATTTCTTAACTAAAAATTCCTTTTCAAAAATCGAATAAGCATTAGTTTCATAGTATGTTCATATCAATTCTAAAAAAAAAAAAAAAAAAAAAAAAAAAAAAAAAAAAAAAAATTATGGCTATTTTTTTAAAAGATAATACCATATTATTTTTATCTTCTTTTGTCAGTGTAACAATTTCAGGTTAATTCTTTCTTAAAATAATAATAACGTATGAATTATAAAAAAGAGCTGAATGAAAAGAATACGAAGTTAGTTGCGATTTCTCATTAAAATAAGTGGGTCAAAAACATTTTAGTGAAAGAGTTATATGTGATGAGAGTACTCTTTCTTGTGAGTGACATTGCTGATAAATTTTGAATATCAGCCTGAGTTAAAGCTCATAGATCATCGGCCGATCCAATCTTTCAACATTTGACACAGTTTCGTGTGTGGTATAAAGAAAAGTAGTAAAGAAATGGGTCTTAAGGTACTTTAGATATATGTGAAGCAATTATTATGTTAGTTTTAACTCTATATCTCTATATTTCCATTGGTCGTAATATATTAAACTTATCTAACGTATATGTAAACAATATAAATATTTTCTGTGATGTGTCATTATAAGATAAGCGCTTGATATCAACATGTATACCCTTCTGAAGACAGCCTAACAAGAGGAGGCATTAGTACCTGCTTTAATTGACTTGGCCCTGAGACATTCCAATGACTTCCTCTATATCAGCGATCAAGGAAAGGAAATGAAAAGGCTATATAAAATGTCCTCTTGTGATTTCGGCTTATATTTCTAGATAATTTGTTTTCTGTATAGAAAACACAGCTATGAATACATGTATAAGATTTAAACAAAAACAAAGGTCAAAGAACGGTCATCCGAGGAGGTCTCTTCATAAATGTCATTGTTTCTAGATTGTATCTTATGCTTTCAAACATCAATGATGCTATGCAACGTCGTACAGAGCATTTAATGGGATATATTTTACCAGATCTTATTAAAAAACATTTCAATGCTTAATAACAATCAACACACGGCGGGTGTGACCGGCACCAGGAGATACCTGATCCCACCTCTGTTCACGAGGCCCGCGTTTGCTCTGCTCACAATATGTATTGTTTTGTTGGATTTTGGAGCATGATTGCTGTCCGTTATCTTCACACATCATTTATACGTACTATATTACCTTTCCTGGTTAACGACGAGACATGTTTGTATCGGCTATTTGTTTTTCTTTAAAATGCTTTATATTTGAATTGCTAATTTTGTTGTTGTTACAAAACAACAATTAGAAGAAGATGCGTATTGAAAACTGCTTTATATTAATTTCCTTACATTCAGTTTGTGCCAACATACAGTGGCCGACTTCATTCAATCTTTGTTTTTTTTTATTTATAGGGAACACTTGATTGTCCAAATGTGGTTAAAAATAATTTAACTACCTAGAACATTTCATTTTAGGTCCGTATTTCTATATGCTTTTAAACTGCTTTAATCAGATATATTATTGGTGAAAATAAATATCTGTCATGGTTAAAAGATAAATTTTTACGATGATTTTGTTTCAGCTATTTGCCTCTATATTCAATATTGAACTCTAAAAAGTTATGTCAAAATTAGAATTCAACTTAATTTGATATTTTTGCTATGTTTCCCAAGAAGTTTAAGAAAATTTTCCCTAGATTTGTGATAATTTTCGATCTTAAACACGTGTTGCTTACTAGGCATTTATTAAAAAATTGATAGAGATGAGTTCGACATTTTTTACCGTAAAACTGTACTTTTTGATGAAAAGTGCATCAAGAAATTCAATTGATGAAAGAATGCTCCTACATCTGTTAAATGATACGTAATGTTTTATCAAAATCTACACCGATAAGACAAAACTAGCAAGAAAACAAAGTTTATCTTTAACAAATACTTGTTTATTATTTTAACAGAGTAATGGTTAATTCTTAATTATTCTGTGTATGAAAAATGATCATTTTTGTCTGTTTGTGGGGAACAATTATGAAATTTGTCACAATAGACGGTATTGTCATACTTTTTTTTTTTTTTACGGATTATGCTATTGCAACCTTTTAAAGCAAATACAACATTTTCTTGAACTTCACAATTTTCATTTCACTGGAATTGTTTACTAATTTTCTGCATTTTAAATACAATACATGAAGTCTTATATTTTGTTTTCTAGTTAATGATATATTGGTTGATTACATATTTTGTTTATTTCCTTGTTTAGAAAAGGTAAATATTCAAAGGTAGTGATTGATTGATTGATTGTATGTTGTTAAACGTCTCGTTCGAGAATTTTTCACTCATATAGAGACGTCACCATATACCGGTGAAGGGCTTCAAATTTTGTCCTTTACTCGGCACTCAGGGCCATTGAGCAATAAGTGATCTTTATCGTACCAACGCCTGCCGTGACACGGGGCCTCGGTTTTTAAGGTCTCATCCGGAGGACCCGCAACTTTCACTTCAAAGTGCCGAGCGCATGGCGAAGAAACAGTTGCTACCCATTTATTTATCGACTTAGGTCAGTCGCGGCCGAGATTCGAACACACGACCTCCCGATCACGAAGCGAGCGCTCTACCGACTGAGCTACCGTGAACGGTAAGGTAGTGATTGTGTTATAAATTAAATCGACATATGATACTTAACATATTCACTAGCAAACAAATGAGTTACTTATATTGCTCTTCATATCTGATAATACATTTGTAAAATTCTAGTGAAAAAGGGAGCTGATTATTCAATACATTTCAAAATTTCTAGATTTATTTCATTCGTACTGAACATGTCGTTTAATCATTTATATTTTGAATGAAAATTTGATCTAAAGTTATTATAAACTATCTCAACACATGTGCAAAATACTTCCCCTTGCATTTCTAAACATAAAGTTTGTATTTATACTTTTGTCGTAAGTTATTTCTCACAAATGTTCCAGGGGACTTATTGTAACTTCTTCATGCAAAGTAAACATTAGAAAACGAAGCACTCAGTGAACGAAACTCAGTGTCTGCAGACTAACGTCCACTTGATCGACTTACTAATTATATAAAAAAAGGACATGTATTTCCTTTTTGAGCCATTATATATACACTCGATCGCCAGTAATTGGGTAAATCTGATAGCTCCTTAACATCTTTAGGCTGAGTGTTCTTAATTATTTCCGCAAAAATTCAGGTCTATATTAACTTAGCCCATGCCTTGACTTTTGTTTAAAAGATTCATAAAACATGTTTTATCTATAACAGGTACGTCTTAGACTAGTATTAATTACTGCTTTGAGAATATCAAAATTATATAGTTCAATTGCTGAGTATCTTATTCAGAGGTTTTAATGTCGGTCATATTTATTTAATTTATGTAACTTTCATTCACTCACATGTACTTTGTTTTCAAGTGCAAATAAATATTTACAAATTAATTAATGGTTTTCCGAGTTGCCTCTCCCAATAGATTGTATCTATGGTGATAAGCCTTATTGTATGCAATTGTATGCAATTTTGATTTTTATGCCGTACTCATGATTATGTTGGTTTAAGAAGGATACTTGTTTAGATTAAAAGAGCAAATATGGCTGAAATGTAGACAACAAATATTTTTGCCTTGGTAGCTTGAATGCATAATTTGAAATCCTAAGCCGTTTCAGAGTAAGTTGTATTAATCGTGTACAATACTTTACGGAAATTTATCTGAAAATAAGCAGGGGAAATAGTAAAAATGCTTATTTTGATACACTTTTTATTTTAAAGTTTGCAAACTTATCTTTTATAAATTATATAATATATTTCCCAGAAAAATTCTTTCTAATTATTAGTTTTAAATGTATGTATCTCAGTAGAAATTTGTATTACAAGAAATAAAAAAAATGTAACCTACGGGATCGCTGTAACATCCTCTTCCAAGAACAGGTTGTCCCCGGAAAAAGAGCACAATTGTCACAAAATTCAAAAAGTTAATTAAACCATCCATCGGTTCACTAGTCGATTCACTTTGGTTACCTTTTACTTAATGTCTGAAAGTTTTAACTAGTGGTTTCAGAATGCCGTGCATTCCTCTCTCCGTATCGAATCATTTGTATTGTCTTTTAATTATGTTTTTATACTCCTATAGGCACTGGAAAGCGCATCCCATCTGACAGATGATAAAATCCTTATAAAATGTTACCAATAATTAGGAATTATGTAACAATAATCGCCAGGCAGTGTCATTCTCTGTAGCCCGGATGTTGTGTTATCAATAACACGGGGTGATAAATTGATATAATGGTCCAGGGGTTCTGTCTGTATCTTTGCAGCGTTCACATGGCATATCGCAAGTGATTCTCTTTTGTTGCTGTCGACCCTGAAGAAAAAAAAATCGTTTCGTGCTGTTAGTTTCTTTTACTGAGTCTGATCTTCTGTTCTTTTTATAGATTCCTCGATTAATATTCCTTGTGTAATTTCTCGATATAATCTGCTGAGCTGAAAGGACAGCGTCTTCCTTATATATATGGTTTAGGTCTAAACTGAATCCCGAAACAAGGACAGAGGTAATAATTATGCATGGAATTCAAGCTTTTAGAAATTTATATATAAACGCCGTAATCAGTAAATATCTGCATTAACAAGAAACACATAAAATTGCAACCACCTGTTACTTTAAACATAGAGAATTTAAGAAACGAGACATTTGAACTGCACGCGTCTGGGGAGTTTAAAATAACAAGCAAAAATAACCCATCCATTGGAAAATTAAATGTTCATTTAAAATCACAGTTTGCTTACTTATAGTATTTCGCTAATGACAATGAAAATGTTATTTTAAACCCGGGTGCATAAAAAAATTAAATGACTTACTATGAAAATAGTGAAGTAAAAAAAGAGGACGCGTCTGGTTAATGTAAGTAATTGGGGAGTTTTGACCGATATATACGATTATCTGTCAGATACTTAATATATTTCCTCCGTTACATATGTAATCCAATGCTTCCAAAGGTGTCTGTGAAATATTAGGGACCTTTGTATCCGGACGGGTGGCATTATTATTTTTAATGAGGCTGTAAATTACAATATAGGTATCAAATAAAAATTGTTCTTTAATTATATTGACCTAATGTCAACCTTTTAAACTATTAAAAAATATGTGTTGGTCTATCAGGAACAAACAAATTAAACTTTTGTGTAATTTACTTAGGAATTAACTGACATATTCTACTATAAATTGATTGCGTTGTGTTAAGTGACCGATTAAAAGAAAGGTAGGAATCTTTTGTGCAATATGGATTCCTACATTTTGCTATACTATCTGAATTTCATATTTTAGTGCCTTTAAAAGATATATATGTTAATGTTTAGTTCAAATCTATGAAAAATGTTCTTTTGTGCACAAAGTCTAGAAAAGATTAAAACAGTTATTTAAATATAATTGCAATATTCAGATACAATTACATACATTATATATTAATAGTTTAAATAAATAAATAAATAAATTTATTTAATTTAATTAATTAAAACCATGTATACCTATATCATATGTTGACCCCATTTCCATGTACATATTTCAAAAACTTCCTCTTAAGTATTTTAAAAACAAAGTAAGTCCATCTAACTATGATTCTTCTATACAATGAGATATTTAACTGAAACGTTCAAATGAATGATGGTTTATTTTGAAGCTGATGCTTGAAAAAATATCATAGACAAAAGGGGCCACCCTTATAATTGAATAAGTGATTAGATAATATTCAATAAAAGTTAGAGATTTGAATATAGAAAACAGTAATTAAGCTCATAGGTCCATTTAACAATGGGAGCAGAGCAAACACGGACCTCTAAAACATCAGAAATGGTATCAGATGCCATGGAGGAGTAAGCACCCATGTCGACCGGTCACACCTGCCGTGTGCTCATTGTCATGATCGGGTAAACGTAAATTTTTTTAAACAGTTCAGTATATATATCATGGCCGAACAATTAGTAGGAAAACGTCAGTCAACATTCGACTTAATGATAGATTGTTTTTTTTTCTTTCGGACAATGTCATTGTATCGACCATGGAATTCGCGAAATGATGAATTTAAAGGAGACATTTAATCTCCCTGTTTCATCAACTTCTTTTTCAATAGTTTGCATCGTTTTAGAAATTGTTCGTACATATAGAGCATGCTCGTGCATATAGAAATTGCTCTCTTCGCTTCGCTTGATGCAAATCATTTTCATTGTATTATTTTTATATCTTTTTCAAGAAAGTGTTGCGATTTATCTTTCCTATGCTACACATTGACTTTAATAATTGATCCTATAAAATGCTTAACATCTAAATTGTCTTTTCTTCCTTATTTCACGTGACTTTTTGGCAAAGAGCTAGGTTCACTTTATGCATAAAATGGCCCTTTACATATACCAATTTATTGACTAACACCTTATGTTTCATTTTAAACATCAAGATAAAGTAGAGACTTAGTGCTTTCATTTCCTATGAAATTTTTTCTCCTTAAAGTCCAAGTCTTGGAAAACGAGCTTTATGGAATTGCAATGTTCTTGAATTTTAAGGAAAACAGTTATATTTAAGTACTTTCAGAGAAGAAAAATAATATGAGCGCACCCTCTGATCTAAAAAATAAAATATGTTTTGTAATCCTCAGAAAAAGTTCTATCAGTAAATAATTGCATATTTTAGATCAGAGATTGCGCTCTATATTAATATTCGAAAAACAGTTTTAAAAGTTGGCTGTTTTTGTAAAATTGTTCAGGATATGAGGAAAATGATGCATTTCATGACGTCATAATGCATTGACTAGCCAGAAAATTACGTCATTTTTGGTAGATTCGCAATTGCCAAATGTCTAAATGAAATTTTATGCATTGTCAACTAAAATTAAGCAGTTTCAGTTTTTCAGAAATTCACAAGGCCAAAAAAGGCCCTAAGTGAACCTTGTTCTTTAAGACTGATGTAATGTCGATACCTTTGTCTTGCCATTCAAAAGAGATGTGGACAAACGAAAGCCTTCATTTTTGTTTCCGTAAAGACAGTTCTTAAAATATGAAGCAATTACTATTCGCGAAAAATAATATTTGCAATTTTATCAATTTGATTATTAAACTTCGACTAAGGAACCCTTCTACGTAAGTGTACTATTAAATGCACAATTGAATACATTGTAAATGCTCAGAATCTAGACATTCATCGAGTAAAATTATGAACCTTTGCAGAAAAATATACTTTGCTGTTAAATCTGTGAAGTTGTTCTATCGATATCTTTAATTCTACTACCAGAATTCTATTTGGAATTATATATTTTTTTTCTTTATCTCAAAACTAGTTTGTTATAATGTATTTAATTGTATTTCTTTGTGGTAATTTGAATGTGACATGCACATTAAAGCATTTCGTTGAGTTTGCAGAAAATCTTAAGAAGAATTAGAATTATCAGTATTAGAAAATTGCAATGGCAAAACATATATTATATTCTTCGTTTTATCATATTATTACCATTATTCTATCCTACAATATGAATTTTCCAATGTATTACATTTTCCCCCATATTTAGTTAAATGAGCGGTTTCCCTAGAATAATAAAGCATTTGATTTTGCTCTACACTAAAGATAGTATAAAACCTTATGCATGAAATTATGCATCTAATTTTTTTTAAACGACACATTTCGTATCGAAACCCTAACGCATATTACAGACACTAATGGATTTCACTTTCTGAAAATCTTATTTTTTTCTACATATATTGTAGACCTTCAAGGATAACATGTGGTGTTGCTTTCTCTTATACACCCATTACTTGGTCTATATAGATCGGTTTTTATCGAAATGATAAAATTAAGAAATGAAACGCCTGCTGAAACATATTTTTATATTTAATGTCAGACGTGCGCGGGTCATCAGAGAAAAGAGAAATCTGTTAGGGTGTTAGTAGTAGTAAATAAGCTCTTATCAATTACCAATTTTCAATTTGATTGCAGTCTTACAGATGGATTTAAAATATTAAGGTTGGAAATGCCATTAAAGCGTATGAATATTATGTCACAAAAAATCTTGTCCCAAAGATAATTTATGGCGTTTACTCTAAGATAAGAAATTATCAAATGAAGATGATCAAGGTGCTTCCTTGGGTCGAAAAAGCACAACGTTACAGCATGGGGATGTTACAGGAGTTTCAACGCTTTTTTAAGTCTGTACTTCACTAATTAAATAGTCATTAAAATCGCCTTTTTGTTAAAAAAAAAAAAAGATAACTTGGGATTAGATTTTATCATGCTTCATATCATTTATTTGGTCAATGTTTTTCATGCTATCTTCACTTTAGATTTCTTCTTTCCATGAACAATACCGAGATTTTACGCCAGGTGTCACCGGTTGACGGGGGGGAGGGGGGGGGGGGCACTTTACTCTCTTAGGCACCTGATCCTAATTCTGGTGTTTCTAGGATCCTTGATGTAACCGTGCTCTGAGATTGATCCTTATTCTATTCTCCTTCCTTTATTGAAATGCTGCAGACTACCGACCCACTGTAACAAACCATTCTTCTGTTAAACACTTAAAACAATTACAAGCTTCTTTCTCTGTATTACACAACTTTATTCAAATTGTATAACTTAAAGCTGTTGGTAATATTCTATACAAGACATTAAAACATCTCATGAATTATGATTAATTGATTGATTGATTGTGCGTTAAAGTATGATTTCACAATCTCACTAATATGAGACGTTACCAGATGCTTGTGAAGGGCTTTAAATATAGATATTCACTAGGCACTCAATGCTACTGAGTCTAATTTATCATTCTTGCTGCAGCATTGAAACGAGACCTTGGTAATAAGGTCTCATCAAAAGGGAAAAAAAAAACAACTTTAACTCCAAAGTACTTTGCACTTGACAACGGAAATTGAGACGGCTATTTACACCCACAGTATTATGATGAAACTCTCTTTTATTTATAAACAAAAACGGACGGAACTGTATCATCAGAAGGACGCTAGCGGTGGACTTTTATTCAGAGACTAAATTTAAAAAATGCGTCTGTTTCAATGTTCGAAAAAGAAATAAACAAGGTTAACAAATACGCTTAAGAAGTTATTTTGATGGGATTTTGTTGATTAGTGCGGACATTCCCTCTTGCTACAGGGGCGCTTAATCACAAATTTCCGGCTACAGCGCGAAAGTTATATACTAACTGATTTACTGTATGAAATGATAACATTTTATTTAGTACATGCAGTTTGAGCAATATTATTTTTATCTCTTATCAAAAGAAATTACCTTTAAAATGCAAATAGATTGTTTTTTTATTGAAAATGTTTTAAACATTCATATTTTTTTTTTATTTCTCCGTGATCGGGAGGTCATGAGTTCGAATCTCGGCCGCTACTAACCAAGTCGATGAAAATGGGTAGCAACTGTTCCTTCGCCATGTGATCGGCACTTTGGATGGAAAGTTGTGGGTCCTTCGGATGAGACCTTAAAA